CAAGGAGCACGACTGCTGGATCATATGCTAAGAAAATGTTTAGTTTTGTAAGAAACTGCCAAACTGTCTTCCAAAGTGGCTATATCATTGGCATACCCACCAGCAATGAATGAGAATTCCTGTTGCTCCACATCCTCAACCAGCACTGGGTGTTGTCAGGGTTCTGGATTTGGGACATTCTAATAGGTTTACAGTAGTATCTCGATGCTGCTTTATTTTGCATTTCCCTGATGACAGGATGTGGAGCATCTTTTCAAACGTTTATTTGCCATCTATACCTTTGTTGGTGAGGTGTCTGTGTAATTCTTTGGTCCATTTTAAAACTGGATTGTTTATATGCTTGTTGCTGAATTGTAAGATTTATTCCTGTATTTCGAGTAACAGCCTATTATCTGATATATCTTTTGCAAACATTTTCTCCCAGTCTGTGGCTTGTCTTTTCATTTTCTTGACAGGAAACTTTTATTATTTGTTTATTTATTTATTATACTTTAAGTTCTAGGGTACATGTGCTCAATGGGCAGGTTTGTTACATATGTATACATGTGCCATGTTGGTGTGCTGCACCCGTTAACTCATCATTTACATTAGGTATATCTCCTAATGCTATCCCTCCCTGCTCCCCCCACCCCAAGACAAGCCCCAGTGTGTGATGTTCCCCACCCTGTATCCAAGTGTTCTCATTGTTCAATTCCCACCTATGAGTGAGATACATGCGGTGTTTGGCTTTCTGTCCTTGCGATAGTTTGCTCAGAATGATGGTTTCCAGCTGCATCCATGTCCCTACAAAGGACATGAACTTATCCTTTTCTATGGCTGCGTAGTATTCTATGGTGTATATGTGCCACATTTTCTTAATCCAGTCTATCATTGGTGGACATTTGGGTTGGTTCCAAGTCTTCGCTATTGTGAATAGTGCCGCAATAAACATACGTGTACATGTGTCTTTATAGCAGCATGATTTATAATCCTTTGGGTATATACCCAGTAACGGGATGGCTGGGTCAAATGGTATTTCTAGTTCTAGATCCTTGAGGAATTGCCACACAGTCTTCCACAATGGTTGAACTAGTAGGAAACTTTTAATTAAATAGAATAAAGCAAAAAAAAGTTTTGAATCACACATTAAATATAAAATCTCAGAAGCTGTAAGCACGTCTGAGACATTAGGTTTCTTTAAAACTTGATCGTCAAGGTAATCAAAGTGCTTCTGAATTTCTTGGCAAAATTAGAAAACTTTAAAAACTAACATCGATTGTTAGTAAATTATATGAAGAGGGGATCATATCTGTCTCATTCACCCCTACATCCCTGGCAGAGTGCCTGGCACATAGTAAGTGTTCAAAAAATATTTTTAAGTGAATGAATGTTTGTTGTGGGTTAGCAACATTATAGATGTTATTTTATTTAATCTCCTTGGTAATCTTAAAAGTTAGATTTTGGCCTTGCACGGTGGCTCACGCCCATTATCCCAGCACTTTGGGAGGCCAAGGTGAGCGGATCATGAGGTCAGGAGATCAAGACCATCCTGGCTAACACAGTGAAACCCTGTCTCTATTAAAAATTCAAAAAAAAAAAAATTAGCTGGGCATGGTGGTGGGCGCCTACAGTCCCAGCTACTCCGGAGGCTGAGGCGGGAGAATGGCGTGAACCTGGGAGGCGGAGTTTGCAGTGAGCCGAGATCGTGCCAATGCACTCCAGGCTGGGTGACAGAGCGAGACTCCGTCTCAATGAAATGAAATGAAATGAAATGAAATACATTTTAAAAAGTTAGATTTTGCTGTCATCCTCATCATGGCAAAATTAGAAGACTAAACTTCTTGGCAAAATTAGAAAACTTTAAAAAACTAACATCAATTGTTAATAAATTATACGAAGGGAGGATCATATCTGTCTCATTCACCCCTATATCCCTGGCAGAGTGCCTGGCACATAGTAAGTGTCCAAAAATATTTTTAAGTGAATGAATGTTCGTTGTGGGTTAGCAACATTATAGATGTAATTTTATTTAATCTTCTTGGTAATCTTAAAAATTAGATTTTGGTATCCTCATCTTATAGATGAGGAGATTGAATCTCAGGGAGATAAGGAAGGTGCCCAAGGTCACACAAGTAGGAAACAACAGAAATGGAAATCCAATTACAGTGTGCCTGACTCTAAATCCAATATTTGTTCTACTATGTCACTTGTTTTAGCAAAGACTGAGAGTTGGCTATTCAACTGTCATTTCTCTCCATGTCCTTGAGGACAGACCTTAATTGTGTACTAGTGCCCTAGACCCTTAAGTGATTCAAGTAAATCCTCATTGATCTGCCCCCATTCCCCATTTCTGTAACCAGTTTAGAGGTTTGGAATGTGACCTGGTTTTGGCTGTGAGATTGGAGAAAAATATTCTGATGGTACAGATGGGGGAGGAGTTTGGGAAAGGATTTCTGTTGCCTCTTTAACAAAGAAACACAAGAGAGAAACGGAGCTTTGTTTGACTCTTAAGTGTTGTTGCATAGAGATGTGATGCCACAGCTCCTGAAGCCATCTTGCTGCCAGGAGGGGAATGAGAAGACAACCCCAGGGGCCTAAGAAACTGTTGGACTCCCAGCATTGTTCAGAAAGTGGTAGCTCTCAGTCAAGTCTTTGGTTTTCCTAAGATAGTTACCTGAGCATTTGGGCTGCCCAGGAACCAGATAATTGGAGTATCAGTCACTCTGTAATACATACGCTACCAAAACCAGCTCCACAGTTTTCGAAATCTCTATTACAAACGCACATGTAAAATGAAATGCTTTGATAGTTCTTATTGTTAGTTTATGGAAATGGGATGTCTTAACTTATTCATTCATTTACTAGCCATTTCCTGTGTGCCAATTGCTGGCAGGCATGGTAAGTACTTCATAGAGATCGGCACTACAGAAGAGCAAAGGGAGATACTCAACCAGCCTGGTGGTGGGTTCTAAGAGGAAGGGTTTGGGAAGACTCTGTACCAGAGCTGACAAGCAGTAACACTTGAATGAACCCAAAAAGACAGTAGGAATTATCCAGGTAGATAAAGAAAAACAGGGTATTCCCTGCAAAGAAGGTAGCATATGAGATACACGGAGATGCGACAGAATATGACACAGCTGAGGAAGTACAAGTAATTGAGTGCATAGGGTGCAGGTTAGAAGAATTGGGAGGGAATGTAAGAGAGGTAAACAGAGGCTTGCTCACAAAGCACCTTGGCCAAGCTATGAGTGAGACTTATTCAGCAAACAGTAGGGAGGGAGTTACTGAAGGATATTAAGTATGTGCTGAACATGATGGTACCTGCATATTAGGAAGATCACTTTGGCAACAGAAAGAATATTTTGGAGAAGAGGAAAGGAGACCAATTGAGTTGATGTGCTGCAGAGAAGCAATGAAAAGAGGCTTTTAGATTCGAGACATACTTAGGAAATGGTTTAGAACTTGGTGAGTGTATATCAGAGTTCAGCAAAGAGGGGAGTGCAAGGTTGGCAAAGAAACACAGAGCTAGCTAGTGGCATGGAGGAGGCTGCCAGACTGTGTGTTAAGGGCTCAGGTGAGGGCACAGACCAAGAGTTAATGGTTCTAGTGCACATGGTCGAGTGATTTACTTAGAGTGGTTTTAGGAGCAAAGAAGGATGGATCAATCCACATTTGGGTAAGTGTTGCAGAAGGAAAAGAAAGCAAGAAGAGTGAGAAGTTGAAAGTATTGTTTAAAGAGACAGGTTGAAGAGCTAAACCAAAGCAGGATGAAGGAAATAAAACCAGAAGAGGAAAGAGAGGGATGGGGCTTCACAACTGTGGAGGATAAGCAGGTATGATTGGAGCAATGTGGATTGTAGGAGCTGATGGAAAGAAGTCTGAACAGGTGGAGTAGCTCCAGGTAATATGAAGGGGAAGGGGTGAGTTGCTGATATCTGTGTGGAGATGAAGGTCAGTGATGTTGAAGAAGGGAAGGCACTGGGTATTGCAAAGGTCATCCACACGGACACTGAAGACACCAGGATTATGGTAGATTTGGGAGGGAGAGAAAAATCATAAACCATGTCAGGAAATGATAAGAACAACAAGAAAAGATGGCAATGGTGAATTTGAGAGGCATAAGTTTCAAAGGAAGAAGGATTTTCATAGGATATTTGAGGAATATTGAATGAGCAAGTGTTAATAGTTATTTAGCACTTACCGTGTACCTGGTTCTGTTCTAAGTGCTTTACATGTACATTTACTAAATTCATGTAATTCTCATCTGTGAGGTTAATGCCATAACTCCCATTTTACAAATGAGGAAACTAAGGCTCTGAGATGGTTAATAACTTGCCCAAAGTCTAACTGTGTCTAAACCAGGTAGTTTGTCATCTGCAAAGTCTACACTCTTGCCCATGTCGTTCTTCCTGCTTCTGCCCACCAGCCCAGCCAACCCATGTGGTTAAGTGGAAGGTTCAAGAACAAGCAACCTCCAGTTAAGAGTGCAGGGAGGAGGTAGTGTCTGAGGTGGGAGCCATTCAAAAAACTCCGACCATAACTGGTCTTTGATAGTACCACCTCCTTTATGTTTTCCAGGGTCTAATTCATTTAGTACTGAGACATGATAATGTGCCTTTGAACTATGGGTTAATATGTAAACTGCCCCGAAGCCTTTTCAGAAGTGGGTACAGTATCCTTTTAAAATAAATGGTTACATAATTATTAACTATAAGTAATCAATTACATAAATGAGTTAATTTGCATGTTTTAGAGAATTTATATACTCTAAGAAGTGGCAAAGAAAAAACTGAAGTATATAACCGTGAATTATACATAGTTCTGCTTTTTCTCTGGCATTACATACTAAATTTTATGACAAATCAGTTCATGACTATATTTTGAAAGATAATCTCCCTATTTTTCTTTTTGACTTTAGTTACCTGCCAGACACTGACTATGTTAAACACCAAAGCACAAGAATGCTCCAAAGAAGAGGTCTATATTGCTTGACTCATATTAACTTCTGTTTATTTTCTTAGGATTAAGATCCAAACGTTGTTGAAAAATGTTCAGATCCTACAAAACACTGACATGCCAGTTCCTCAGCTTTGATGGAGAAACCAGCTTTCTCTTCTTGCAGAGATACTCTTCATGAAAAGTGGAGCTCCAAGAAGAATAGACATGAGGAAAATACGTATTTTTACAAAAGGAAATGTATGGTGCAATTATAAACTGTAGCATGAACCCATAATTGGAAGTCTACGTCTCACAGTTATAGTCAATAATTCTGGTACATATGAAATAAGTTCTTTCAAAATGGGATTCAGGTATTATTTAGAAATGCATCTACTGAAAAGAAGCATACCACAAAAATTTATGCTGATTATGGATGAGATCATGGACAGTTTCATCCAAATTATGAGCTGGATTTGTCAGATGTAGAGTCTCAATCAGGTCACTTGAAAGACCAAATGATTTCCTTTTCATCTGAAGGGTTCAGAGAGGCAGCTTTTGAAAAGGCGCTATTGAAATATTCAAGGTAGCTGTTCTTAGCACAGCTTTGATTTCTAAAACAACTAGAAGGACTGTAGAACTACATGAGGGAAGAGAAGAGAAACTGAAGAATTGTTTGAAAACATAAATATTCTTTACTTATAGTACCACTCCATGCTTTGGGAAAAAAAATTATTTTATGAAGTCAAGAAGTAAATCAGAAGAAAACAGCAGGGAAAGTCAGCACAAACGGGTTTATCTAATACTTTCTCAGTGTCCAATTTGCAATGCACTGAGTTCCCTGCTTAACTATGTCTATACAATGGGGGCAGGGAGAGGAGTAGGTTAAAAATAAATATGAGTTGCAAGTCTTTCTCCTCAGGCTGCTAATATTAATATACCTGAATTTTATGTTTGTTGTTGTCTTCCTTGTCTCTATAGTTTTTGCAACTAGTGTATATATGTCTAAACAATCTATTGCTTAAATTTACATAATTTTCAACTTTACATATGTAGAATCATGCTGTTTGTTTCCTTCCATACCTCAGTTTTTTCACTAAAAATTGTCTTCTGAAAAAACTTGGAGGTATCATATTTCCTGATTTAAAATTATATTACAATGTTATAGTAAACAAATCAGTATAGTACTTACACAAAAACAAACACAGTGTAACAGAATGGAGTGCAGATATAAATTCAAACATACACAGTAAGCTAATTTTTGACAGAGACACCAAGAGGATACAGTGGGAAAAGGATAGGATCTTCAATAAATAGTGCTGAGAAAATTGAATTTCCACACATATGCAAAATTTATAAAATATAAGGCCTAAAACTATAAAATTCCTTAAAGAGAACACAAAAAGCTCCTGGACATTGGCCTTGGAAATAATTTTTTGAATATCCCACCAAAAAATGAAAAAAAAAAAAAAGCTCAGGCTACAAAAGCAAAAATAAATAAATGAGACTACATTGAACTACAAAGATTTGTACAGCAAAGTAAATAACCAACAAAATAAAATGACAGCCTATGGATTGAGAAAAATATTTGCAAACCATGCATCTGATAAGGGGATAATATCCAAAATTAATAAAGAACTCATACAACTCAATAATAGGAAATCAAATAGCTTGATTTTAAAATGGGAAAAGAGCACTTGTCGACACTTCTCCAAATAAGACATAAAAGTGGCCAACAGATATATGAAAAGGCACCCAACATCATTAATCGTCAGAAGAATGCAAATAAAAACCATTGAGATATCGTCTCACACCCATTAGGATGGCTGTTATCAAAAAAACAAAAGATAAATGTTGGTGGAGTTGTGGAGAACAGGGAGCCCTAGTACATTGTTGGTAGGGTTATAGATTGGTACAACCATTATGAAAAATAATATTGAGATGTCTAAAGAAATTTAAATGAGAACCATCATGATCTGACCCAGCAATCCTTCTTCTGAGCATAGACCCAAAGTAAATGAAATAATCACCTCGTAAAGGCATCCACACTCCCATGTTCATTGCAGTACTATTCTCAATAGCCAAGATGTGAAAAGAGCCTAGGTGTCCGTTAATGGACAAATGGATAAACTGTGATATACATATACATATACATATACATATAGTTCTCTTACACTGAACGTATATTATTCAATATTGAAAAAGAAGATTCTGCCATTTGCCACACATAGTGAACCTGGAGGATGTTATACTAAGGGAAATAAGCCAGATGCAGAAAGAAAAATATTGCGTTATCTTGCTTATTTGTGAAATCTAAAAGAAAAAGTCAAATATACAGAGATAGAGAATAAAACTGTTTTTATGGGCAGGGGATAGAGAGATGAAGGTCAAATATGTGAACTGAATGAGACTTAATGTACATCATGAAGAATATAGGCAATAAAATTGCACTGTATTTGGGAAACCTGCTGAGTAGATTTTAGTTACTGTTGCCACAGAAACAAAGAAGAAATACGTACCTATGTGAGATTATGGATATGTTAATTTGCTTCACTATATGTAACTATATGTATCCCATCACATCGTGTTGGATACCTTAAATATATGCAATAAAAATGTATATTAAAAAATTATCTTTTGGGATTTGTTCATGTTGAGGCACGTAGGAATAATTCATTTTTCATCACCAAAGAGTATTCCATTTTATGAATATGCTACAATTTACAGCATAATTTATTTTTGCTTTGGATGAATATTGAAATTTTTATAGACTTTTATTTATTTGTGTGTCTGCTTGGCTCTTACAAACATGCCTGCCTTGAACATTCTTGTATATCTCCTGGTATTCATATGCAAAAGTTTATCTAGGTTTATCTACCTAGAAGTAGAATTGTTGCGTTATTGGACATGGACACCTTTAACTTTATTTACTGGATAATGCCAACTCGTTTTCCAGTACTAATTTATACAGTTATCCTTCAGGATCTGTGGAGGATTTGTTCCAGGACTTCCTATAGATATCAAAATCCACAGATACTATAAAGTCCCTTATGTAGAAATGGCATAGGATTTGCATATAACCTGTGCATAACCTTCCATATACTTTAATCTTTAGGTTACTTAATATACCCAACACAATGTAAATGTTATGTAAATAGTTGTTATGCTGTATTGTTTAAGAAATAATGATGAAGAAAAAAGTTGGTACTTGTTCAGTACAAATGCAAGCACCCTCTTCTTTCCAAATATTTTCTATCCGTGGTTGGTTGAATCCACGAATATACAACCCATGGATATGGAGGGCCAACTGTACTCATACTTGCCTTCTGTTATTGCTTGAGAATCTGTCCAACACTTGTTACTGATCCAACTTTGTAATTATTGCTGGTGTGATTGGTACAAGTAGTATTTTATGTTATTTTAATTTGCATTCCCCATAGGTTTGTTGCCAGTCCCACTGTCTTTCTGGAAAATACCCATTTGTGTCTTTTGCCCATTTTTTCTATTAGGTTGTCTGTCTTTTTTTCAGTGATTTTGAGTTTTAAAAATTATCTTTTGAGTTCCATATATTTTGGAGACTAATCCTTTGCTAGGTATATATGTCACAAATTGGGGTTTATTGATGAATAGAATTATTCATTTTAATGTAGTTCAATGTATTAACCTTTTTCTTTATGATTTGTTTTAGATGTCTTGTTAAAGAAATTCCTACTTATTATGAGGTAATTTATTCTCCTCTATTTCCTTCTAAAAGTTTTAAAGTTTTGCCTTTCACATTTAAGTCCTTTGTCCAACCTGAAACTCGATAATGCATTTCCAATTAATTTTTAAAATTTTCTCCATAATTGCCTTACATATTGAGATAATTGTATGTTTTCTTTCTTCATAGTTTGTTAAGGTAGTATTAGATTAATAAACTTGAGAACGTTTAATCAACCTGCATTCCTGAAACAAATTCAACTTGAGCCTGAAGTACGTTGTGTAGTTTATTTTGTGAATATTTCCTTGGTGACTTTCATATATATTCATAAAGGAGATTAATCTGTAATTTTCCTTGGTTTTTATTTCACCGTTATTTTAGATCAAGAAAATCTTTTAATGCTTTTATCCTTAAAGTGTACTTTGTTAATATTAGAATATCAGCATTACCTAAATTTTATTAGTGTGTATGTATATGTGTGTATATATATATATCTACACATATTTGTTTGTGTAGTCATTAAGCTGTACACTTAGTATTTCTGCATATTGCCATATGTAAACGGTACCCAATAAAGTACTATTGTTGTTTTTAAAAAGAATATAATAAGCAACCAAGAAAACATGGACTATTCAGCTACCACCATCAACTTTCAGTAATAGAGAATGGCAGGTGAAACAAAACAAAGACGCATAAACCAAAGCAAAATTCCAAAATTCTTTCATTTTGGAAACAAAAATCTTTCATTAAAAAATTTCTTTGACATAAATCTGTTGGTAGAAATCTCCGTTTTTGTCTTCAAAAAATTTGTTTCTGAGAACCTAGAAGCTTTCCTGCCAAGATCAGGAACAGGGCAAGAATGTCCCTTCTCACCACTCACATTTCAAGATGATACTGGAAGTTCTAACTAATGCCGTAAGATGAGAGAAGGAAATATATATACAGATTGGGAAGGAAGAAATAAACTGTCTGTATTTACACATGACATAATTGTTTATCTAGAAAATCTGAAAGAATCAACAACATCAAAAAAAAATTCCTGGGGCCAGGCACAGTGGTGCATGCCTGTAATCCCAGCATTTTGTGAGGCTGAGACAGGAGGATTGCTTGTGGCCAGGAGTTCGAGACCAACCTGGGCAACAAAGCAAGACCTTGTTTCTACAAAAAGAATTTTTTCAATTACCTAGGTGCAGTGGTGTGCACCTGTAGTCCCAGCTACTTGGGAGGCTAAGGCAGAAAAACCACTTGAGCCCAAGAGCTTGAGGCTGCAGTGAGCTATGATTGTGCCACTGCACTCCAACCTGGGTAACAGAGCAAGACCCGTCTCTAAAAAGCAAAAAAAAAAAAAAAAAAAAAAAAAAAAAGATGACAACAACAAAACAAATTAATAGATTATAGTAAAGTTACAGTATAGAAGGTTAATATATACCAATCAATTGCTTTTCTATACACTAGCAAAGACCAAACAGAATTTGAAATTAAAAACATAATACCATTTATATTATCATCTCCAAAAATAAAATGCTTAGGTATAAATTTAATAAAATATGTACAAGATCTACATCAGGAAAACTACAAAACTGCAGTGAAAGAAATCAATGAAATAAAAAGATGGAGACATAGTCCGTGTTCAAGTATAGGAAAACTGAAAATTGTCAAGACATCAGTTCTTTTCAATGTAATCTATAGATTCAATGCAATCTTGGTCAAAATCCCAGCAAGTTATTTGGAGGATATCAACAAACTGATTCTAAAGCTTATAGGAAGAGGCAAAAGACTCAGAATTGTCCACACAATATTTAAAAAGAAGAATGAAGTCAAAAGACTGATGTTGCCAAATTTCAAGACTTACTATAAAGCTTTGATAATCAAGACAGTGTGGTATTTAGCAAAACAATAGACTAATAGATCAATGGAACAGAATAGAGATCTCAGAATTAAACCCACACAAATATAGCCAACTAATCTTGGACAAAGAAGCAAAGGCAATTCAATAGACAAAAGACAATCTTTTCAACAAATGGTGTTGGAACAACTGAATATCAACATGCAAAAAAAAAAAAAAAAAAGAATATGGGACAACTTCACACCTTTCACAAAAGATTAACTCAAAATAGATTATAGACCTAAGTGTAAAATTCAAAACTATAAAACTCCTAGAAGATAGCACAGGAAAAAGCTTATGACTTTGGGTATGGTGGTGACTTTTTAGGTACAACACCAAAGGCCCAATTCTTGAGAGAAATAATTGATAAATTGGGCTTCATTACAATTAAAAACTTCTGCTCTGAAAAAGACAGTATCAAGAGGATGAGAAGACAAACCACAGACTGGGGGAAAAATATTTGCAAAAGACCTATTTGATAAAGGTATTGTTATCCAAAATATACAAAGAAATCTTAAAACTCAACAAAAGAAAATTAACAACTCAATTTTTAAAAAATGGGCCAAAGAACTAAGCATTATCTCACCAAAGAAGTTGTACAGAGGGCAAGTAAGCATATGAAAAGAAATTCCACATTGTATGTCATCAGGGAAATGCAAATTAAAACATCGAAATACCACTATACATCTATTAAAATGGTCAAAATTCAAAACTCCCAACAACACCAAATATTGGCGAGGATGTGGAGCAATAGGAACTCTCATTCAATGCTGATGGGAATGAAAAATGGTACAGGCCCTTTGGAAGACTGTTTTTCAGTTTGTTACAAAACTAAACATACTCTTAACATATGATCCAGTAATTGCGCTTGTTGATATTTGCCTAGAGGTGATGAAAACATATATCCATGTAAAATCCTGCACATGAAGGTTTATGGCAACTTTATTCATAAGTGCCAAATCTTGGAAACAACCAAGGTCTCCTTCAGTAGGTGAATGATTAAATAAACTGTGGTACCTTCCAACAATGAAATAATAGTCAGCACTAAAAAGAAGTGAGCTACCTAGCCATGAAAAGACATGGGGTACATTAAACTCAGATTGCTAAAATCCAATCTAAAAGGCTACATATTGTATTATTCCAACTATACGACATTCTGGAAAAGACAAAACTATAGAGACAGTAAAAGATCAGGAATTGCCAGGGGTTAGCAGAAAAGGAAGGCTGAATTGGTGGTGCGCAAAGGATGTTTAGGGCAGTGAAACTATTCTGTACGGTGGATATGTGTCATTACGTTCGTCCAAACTCACAGAATGTACAACACCAAGAGTGAACCCTAATGTAAACTATAGACTCTGGGTGATAACGATGTACCAACTTAATTTCATCAATTGCAACAAATATGCCATTCTGATGCCAGATGTTGATAGTGGGAGAGGTTGTACGTGTGCAGGGTTGTTCCTGCTCAATTTTACTGTCAATTTTACAACTGCCCTAAAAATAGTCTTTAAAATTGTGTTTATTTCTCCTTTGTTTTTGAAAGATGGTTATCTGAAAACTTAAAGTTGTAAACACTTTGATTATTCCACTATTGCTGCTGAAAAATCAGCTGTCAGTTTGGCAATGTTTTGATGGCAATATCTTTTTCTGGCTTCTTTAAAGGCTCTTTTTATTGTTGGCATTCTGTAGTTTCACCATGTTCTTTCTAGGTATGCATTTATTCTTATTTGCTTTGTTTGGAATTCACTGTGGTGTTTGTTTGTTTGTTTTTGGATCAGAGAGTTTGCTCTTTCATTCATTCTGGAAGATTATAAACCACTGTCTCTCTAAGTATTTTCTTTTCTTTTTCTATTGTCTCCTTTAACTCCAATTAGAAATATGTGAGACTCCACCAGTTAGAATGGCGATCATTGAAAAGTTAGGAAACAACAGGTGCTGGAGAGGATGTGGAGAAATAGGAACACTTTTACACTGTTGGTGGGACTGTAAACTAGTTCAACCATTGTGGAAGACAATGTGGCAATTCCTCAAGGATCTAGAACTAGAAAGACCATTTGACCCAGCCATCCCATTACTTGTAATCCATGATTACAAAGGATTATAAATCATGCTACTATAAAGACACATGCACACATATGTTTATTGTGGCACTATTCACAATAGCAAAGACTTGGAACCAACCCCAATGTCCATCAATGATAGACTGAATTAAGAAAATGTGGCACATATACACCATGGAATACTATGCAGCCATAAAAAAGGATGAGTTCATGTCCTTCATAGATACATGGATGCAGCTGGAAACCATCATTCTGAGCAAATTATCGCAAGGACAAAAAAACCAAACACCGCATGTTCTCACTCATAGATGGGAACTGAACAATGAGAACACTTGGATACAGGGTGGTGAACATCACACACCGGGGCCTGTCGTGGGGTGGGGGGAGGGCGGAGGGATAGCATTAGGAGATATACTTAATGTACATGACCAGTTAATGGGTGCAGCACACCAACATGGCACATGTATGCATATGTAACACACCTGCAGGTTGTGCACATGTACCCTATAACTTAAAGTATAATAAAAAAAAAATGTGAGACTCATGGTCTTGTCAAAAACACCTTCCTAGGATTACTTCATCTTTGTCAAAAGCCATAGAAAATATATCCTACATAGGAGTTTTTGAACTTGCCCTTATAATCTGTCTGAACCCTAATCTTCCTGAATTATCTTCTGCTGTTAAAGGCTAATTGCATAGAATTTGGGGAGATACAATAACAAATTATAATGTTTTATATTGATGAATTCATTTGTGGGGGTCACATCAACTTGATTATTGACAATATGGATGCTAAGTTTTGGGTCTCTATGATGTTATTGAAATGTGAGGTGATCCAGTCTCCTTGGTCATGAAAAATGATGAAAATGTGCCATGATGGAAAAGGAGTGGGTAGTGCTACTGATCAATGCCATCTGCAGATTTTTAAAATAGAGTTTTTAGAAATTTAGGCCATACAAGGACTTCATGTCTAAAACACCAAAAGCAACGTCAACAAAAGCCAAAATTGACAAATGGGATCTAATTAAACTAAAGAGCTTCTGCACCACAAAAGAAACTACCATCAGAGTGAACAGGCAACTTACAGAATGGGAGAAAATTTTTGCAACCTACTCATCTGACAAAGGGCTAATATCCAGAACCTACAAAGAACTCAAACAAATTTACAAGAGAAAAACAAACAACCCCATGAAAAAGTGTGCAAAGGATATGAACAGACACTTCTCAAAAGAAGACATTCATATAGCCAACAGACACATGAGAAAATGCTCATCATCACTGGCCATCAGAGAAATGCAAATCGAAACCACAATGA